TTATGCTTTTCACCTACACTTAGTATCTATGGTTTTAGTTTCTGATATACAAAAGAAATAGATGACACTAAAAAAGAAATAGATGACACATATATGTGACAAGTCAGTTTAATTGTCTAGGGCATGATATTAATAAAGCCAGGATCAAAATCTAAAACTAAAATGGATCATTTCTGGTTTTTTCCACCACCTTATAGTTACTTATGATACCATCCAGCCTCCATAAAACTGTCTTATTTTAATTATATGATACAGTGGGAAGGAGTCTGCAACTGAACTTGTATTACAAGTCAATCACCATTATTGAAAATATAACTTGCAGAGTTCCTGCCATAGTGTTTGTTATTATACTCATTAAGAATTGCTTATTCATATAGTGACTTGAACTCTTCAGTGTATATTATAATTTAGGATTTGATTTCTTTTCTGTTTTTAAAGGAAATAACCCAATGAACATTCCAGCAGGAGGAATAACAACAGATCAGCAGCCACCAAACTTGATTTCAGAATCAGCTCTTCCAACTTCCCTTGGGGCCACAAAGTAAGACCCATGTTTCAATTGGCTCCTGTGTGATAGTCACACATGAAACTGGGCTGGGAATCACACAAAACGCCATAATTCTTTCTAAATGTGAGGCAGAGAAAATAGTTTGGGTGGAGGCATGCTCTTTTTCTTTTAATTATAAATGTAGAGCAGATAATAGATAAAACATGGTTTCTATTTTGTTGTACATTCACCACTTGGCTCTCCTAACTTAAACTTTTTAAGTCTCATATGGTTGAAGGCCTTACTTAAATGAAGCACATTTGAGTCACTTTAATAGATGGCTGAAGTTCTTGTTCTTCCCATAGCCCAACGATGAACGGCTCAAATTCTGGAAACATTGGAACCCTCAGCACTAGACCAGCAGCAGCACCTACTTCTAGCGCTGGTGTTCGGAAAGTCTGGCATAAACATGTCACCCAGGACCTGCGGAGGCACCTAGTGCATAAACTGTATGTACCCACCTCACCCATTATTCGCATGTGAGAGAAACATTTTGTGGCTGATAGCATTGTGACAGTTTTGCACTTTATTATCAGGATCTGATTGAATTCCTAAGTGGTTCCAGGTGATAGTACCCTAGCAGCTAAAGGGACTCACATCCTTTTTAGGGAATCACAGACACTGCTGGCAGGCCAGAGAATCCCAGACCCTGCATCCCCAGTG